GTGAAATGTCTCGACAGGTGAGGGTGCTTGCTGTTAAGTCCTGACAACCTGAGTTTCATCCACAGCCCCACAAAAACAGGAGAGTAAACTACAACAAACTGTCCTTTGACCAGCATATGCACACACATATACAAAATAAATAAATAAATAAATGTTAAAACATTTAAGGCAGAACATGCATCTTGGTGGTAGATGGGGGGTAAAAGAAGACAGTGACACCCTCAGACAGCATGCTGGGCAGCGACACCCTCAGACAGCGTGCTGGGCAGCGACACCCTCAGACAGCGTGCTGGGCAGCTTCAGTGGTCAACTTGACACACCTGGGTGGAGGGAACCTCAGTTGAGGAGCTTCCTCCATATATTGGCCTGTGGCCACGTGTGTGGGGCATTTTCTTGATTGTTGGGTGATATGGAAGGGCCTACTCCACTGTGGGTGGCACCACCCCTGGGTAGGTGGTCCTGTGTTGCTATAAGAAAGCAGATTAAGAGGCCAGAGAGATGGTTCAGTGGCTAAGCACACTGGCTGCTCTTGCAGAGGACCCAGGTTTGAATCTCAGCACTCAAATGACAGCTAACAGCCATCCTAATTCCAGTTTCAGGGGATCTAACACCCTCTACTGACCTCTGCAGGCATTGCATGGCACAGGTGCACTTCCATACATGTAGGCAATACACTCATGCACATAAAATAAAAATAACAAATAAAATACTTTTAGAAAGAAAGCAGATTGAGCACAGGTCAGGGGAGCAAGCCAGTATGCAGAACTCCTCCATGGTCTCTGCTTCTGCTCCTGTCTCCAGGTGGAGGCCTCCTGACCTCCTGGGTCCTGCCTTGGTTTCCTTGTTGATGGACTGTGAGCTTTAAGCCAAATAAACCCTTTCTTCCCCAAGTTGGTTTGGTCAGTGTTTTTAATCTTAACAATAGAAATTAAGTAATACAGATGAGATTTAGCTAATGGCACTTATTCCACAAGATGTTATTTTCTTATTGTTTTAAATCTTTAAATGTGTCTTGACATGTGCTGTAATTCTCCTCAGCTGCCACTATGTCAAAGTCTGTTTCAAACCGATGTTTCAAACACAACATTTGAGTATTGCTGGGGCGGGATAACAGAATAGATTTTAGGTGCAAAACAATTTGGAGAACAACAGGACTGGAAATTGAGGTACGAGAAGGTTTTGGAGGACAGGAGGCATCATCCACAGTGTGAGCTCCGAGAAATGCTAAGAAACACTGAGCTTGGAATGGAGTTGTGAGTCCTGTGACACTGATAAGGGAAAGTCAGGAGGGTGATCCAGTGAGACATTTTGCAAAAGCACCACTGCTCCTCTCCTCTGCAGGGGAGGATTCTCTACTTCACAGACTTAATAGTAAGCATTCCTCAGTAAACAAAGTATATTTTGTATATAAATGACTTATCAGCCAAGACAAGAAAGAACAGATGCGTTAATACAAATATCAGGTCAAAATCTGAGGCTACCACGCCTGCTCCTGCAATGTGGAGCTCCTGCAAGTTTGGCTGCTTCAAATGACTTCCTCCTGCGTAACAGAAACAACAAAGCAAAGCATAAATCCAGTACATACTTGAGAAAACAAACACAGTGTTAAGTTTTCTCTTCTGACCTAGTGAGTGCTCTTCATGGCTTAAAACATTTTCTTTCAGAAATTTCCTTAACCAAGTATGTGGAAGGTAATTTACCACTGTGGTAGCGTTAGTCATCACGGAGTGTGGAGAACATGGGGGCTCCTTCACAAGTCAGCCCTGGTGCTATGACTCTTATTTCCGGACGCTTCCTTTTCTTCCCACTGGATGTCACCTGTCATCTCTCAAGGTTGTTTATGCTCAAACTGGGAAAATAAGCCTTTTCTGCTTGCATTATTACAATCGAATATTGTAATGGCTGTGGCTTCCTAAGGATTCTATCCTATAGAATTGGAAAGTGATAAAAAAAATTGGCTGTCATCCAGCTTGTAACATTATTTGCCTTTCTGGTTTGATATGTTATTAGGAAAGAACAATGTTTGCTTTACAAAGTTGAAACTCTTTACTTTTTATTTTAAATCCTAGTGAAATCGCACTCTAGAAAGTTAAAGACCCAGCTTAATACTTGTTCGAGGTTTCTTTTCTTCTGGTTTAACCTCGTTTTCAGAGGAAGCTGGGGGAAGGGTAAATGACTTTAGAAGCACAAGAGACTAGAATTTTCTAAATAGGAGCTGCAATGATTCAGAACCAAAGCAAGTTATCAAAGTCATCACAAGAAAAAAAAAGGACACAGAGGACGAGGCAGCTCCAGTGCATCCAATCACATTGTACTTTATTTCCCAAGACAAGTGCTTGTGGCTCTAGTATGAGTTTGCTAGCATGAAACTAAGGGAGTGATTCCACCAGTGATCACATTTAGTTTCTTCCAGATGATTCTCTCAGCATTATTAGAAAACATGTAGCATTTTGAGATTAGCTTAGAGATTTCCTGAGATTAGAAAACTCCCTTAAAAATCTGCAAATGTTCTGGGTCATTCTGGCATTTAGGAAGCAACCAACGTCTGACACCAGTTCATACCATAGAACTGTGCTGCTCGTGAGGTTAGAACACAATGTCCCCAAACATGCCATCTTGGCATTTGAGACAGCAGTAGTAGCTGTAGTAGCTCCCTTTTTCCTCTTCTCCCCTGAAGCAGGCCATACAGAGCCATCTGACAGCCCATAAAATAGATCAAAAGACATTCATTCCAGAGGGGTCCTCCATAACCCTACAGAAAGAAGCATCTTCATCTGCCAAGACAGGGGGACAAGGAAAACAATATTAACAACCAAGGCTTGCTTGCCAGGTGTCCCCAGTTTGCTATCATTCCATCACTTGCTTGCTGATCCCACTCTGCATAGCTGTCTACTCCCCAGAGAGCCCCCACACAAGCACACAAACATTTTTCCGTATCTTCAAGTCTTCACTTGAGTCTTCATGAGGCTCCCATGGTGTACCAAACATATTACATAGTTTGTATACTTTTTTCTCTTGTTAATGCATCTTTTGTTATGGAGTTTCAGCTATTGCCTATGAATGAGTGGAAAAACAGCACATTTACTCAACTGCATGGCCATAGTCAGTACCCAACCTAGAGCAACTTACCTGGGAGAAAGACTTGGATATACTTCTAACTACTTGACCTTCTTTGCCAAATTGTGTGAAATGAACATAAACAGTCAGTTACAGTAACTCACTCTGTATATAAAACAGCTGATAAAGATAATCTTTCAAAATAAGTACTTCATATGGCTTACCCTAATATTTTGGGTCTTTAGAAGCTCAGATTCCACATGAGCCTCAAGGTTTATTAAGTCTTATTTTGATTTCAATGATCAAGGAAACAAACGACTAGGGCAAAGTTCAGTGGTAAATCACACGTTCAGCATGTTTGAGGTTCCAGGTTTGACCACCAGCTTGTAAAGGAGGAAAGGAAGAAGGGAAGGAGGGAAAGAGGGAGGGAGAAAGAAATTAAGTAAAGTTTCTCATCTGAAAGAGGAGTGGGAATTCAACTGTCAAACACGTAGGAGCACATAGATCTCCAGAAGAGAGGGCAGTGGGAGCAAACACAGGTTAATGAGAGACTGTGAGTGGTTGGCTCCAGTTAAGACAGGGTATGTGTAGAAAACTGGTGGGAAAGGGGCATGTGGTAATTAGGGAGGAGTCAAATTAGAGAACACTTCTGCATTTTATTCTGAATATTTTTCTTGACTTTACCGTGCGGAATCATAGGCGCTTTTTTTTTTTTGTCTTTTTGAGACAGGGTTTCCCTGTAGCCTCAGCTGTCCTGGAACTCACTATGTAGACCAGGCTGGCCTCTTAACTCACAGAGATCTGCCTGCCTCTGCCTCCCGAGTGCTGGGATTAAAGCCGTTTGTCACTTTTTAAACAGAGGAGAAATGGTGTTAAAAAATTATTCTATGGTCTCAACCATAGGAAAGAAAATGAGGGAAAAACAAAAACAAAAAGACCAGAAGAAAACTCAGTGGTTGCTTCTGGTGCTGGGGTATTATCCCGTCTTATGCCACAGTGGAATGCAATTACTTCCTGATGGTGCTAAAATTTCAGACCGTGAGCACATTTTGGTTCATCAATTGCCTTTTCAGTTTTGTCTCTGAAACTGTGACTCTCAGACTGTATTAATGCAGTGAGCACCCTCATCCACACTGGAAAGACCAAGCCAACAGGTACTATGGTCGCTGAGATGCCCCAGGGTAAAGGCAGAGACTGTGTTGTGTCTTACAGTCTGAACCTCAGAGAGGCTAGCATATCAACTTCACTGATTTGCAAAGGAATCAATTCTGGCTCTAAGTGACTCAGTTTTATCTTTTACTTTGCCTTACAGGAAACAGAATTTTATCACACGCCCTTGCCTAGGTCATTTCAAATTCAAGTATTCAAGGTGAGTCTTCAACTCACCTTTCCAGCCCTTTTAGCAGATAGTTGGCCCAAAGCCTGAGCTCACAGAAAGACTGGAGCTGCTAAACACTATACCACAGAAGCGGAGGCATGCAAAGCTTTAGTCAGAACAGTCTGTACAAATAAAACAAGCAAAGCAAACCACTAACACCAAGTCCAATCACTACATTTACAATAAAGAGATACTTATGAGGAAAGACCGCCCAAAGCACTTCATTAAACCAAAACCATCACACATGAAGCCCATCCATAAAACCACAACACCGGTAACACCCTTTATTAGGAGGTTGTTGGTGAAGTTAAATAATACACATGGGGTGCTTAGAAGGTAGTTTGGCACAAGGAGTTCACTCAATAAATGGTATCTATCATTGTTATTGTTTCATCTGACACATGGTGATCATTTCACAAATGTTAGTACATTACTATTACATCTTATAACTTACCTCTTTCTAGCCACAGAGACATTATTTATGTTAAAGAATATTCAGTATCTTGAATAAAATTAGATAATTAGAGTGCTTTGAGAGAAAAAAAATGCATAGCCCTTATATTTACCTCTTCATATCTATCAAAAACTGCTCCTTCTTGCAAAAAGGGAGGAACTTCTTTCTGCCAGTTAAATTCATAGGGTTTGGCCATGATGATAGTCAAGACCTAGGAGAAAACAAATATCTATTAGCATACAAAATTAAAGCACAAGTGGCTATCAAAGGTTAGACATTTTGTATTCCTGTATTTGCAAAAGCTTTTCTTTAAATGTGTGGGAAAAGGACGTAAGATTGGGGGGGGGTTGTTATTTTGCTTTGCTTTTGTTTTGTTTTGTTTGTTTTGTTCAGACAGGAACTCATTATGTGGATCAGGCTGACTTGGAATGCACTATGTAGTCCAGACTAGCCTGGAGTTCACAGAGATCTGCTCACCTCTGACTGGGATTAAAGGTATGTGCCACCAAGTTTAGCAGTTACCTTCCTTTTTATGTCTTCCCTTCATCTGACCCAAACATTCCTTCTCCTTGTCTCTAAATCTGAGAGAGATCATCATTCCTGTCTTCTGTGGACCCCTCAATAACCACTGATAGGGAGCTATGTTAACATGACGCACTGAAAAGCAATGTGGTAGAGAGGAATGGAGCTCAGCAGTACCGTGTGCTTACACATGAGAGGCCCTGGGTACAAGCCCCAAAACATAACAAGCAGGCAAACAAATTATTTCATAGGAAACAACGTGGCCAGGCAGGAATAGTTGCCCATACTTGTAATTCCAACTACTTGAGCAGCTGAGACAGGAGTTCATCCTAGGCAACAAAGGAAGATTCTGGCAAAAGAGAAAAGAAAGGAAGGAAAGGGAAAGAGAGAGAGAAGAAAAGGGAAAGAAATTCAAGTGAACAGAACACAGTAGCTCAGGTTTGTCAGATAAAGAGGCAAGACGCCCCTTACTAGTGCTTCAAGTGTTCTAGGATGTTCTAATTCCTGACAACCATCCCTTGCACTTTTTACCCATGGTCTCATTTTCAAAGGAGTAGCAACCAGAGACATCTAATATAAGAGGCTCATGTCAAATATGAGCAGAGCGTTTCTATCCATTCATAACGTCTTTCACTGGTTTAATGGATTCTCTTGGGATCCGAGCACCCAAACAAAAGCATCCAGAAAGGGGCTGCTTCTGAGACTTCACTACCGTTTACTACTGAAATATTCATCTCGGATTGAGTAGTCATCCCATGAAAGTGGCCTTATTCAATGCAGGCCTCTAGGGGCTGGGGCAGCTGAGGGAGCACTCTGGACAAAAGGATGATGACTTCTGCCTCTGCTCTCTAGGGAAAAGATCAGTCCTCATAATGGAAGCCACTGCCCTGTCTACAATTTTCAGAGCTCTAGGGGTCAGATTAGTACAGAGGCATTTTGGGAAAACGCTACTGAAGTACCCAGGGTTTTCCCAATTTTAAACTGGAAGGAGTGCTGTTCTCTGTTCTGGCTCTGAAATGCTTCCTAGGGCTGGGCATTAACAGCTGGCTTATTTTACGCAGACGGTACAATGAAGATTTATATGCAAAATCTATACACAAGAAAATGTGGACCTAGACAACTGACTGTCAAAATAGAAACAAATAAAGGTATGTCTAATAATCTATATGACTGCAGAAAAAAAAAAAAAAAACCAACGGACGAATGGTTACTTCATAAAGGGATGGAGAAGGTCAATACTCGCTGTTTGCAATCCACTCAAATCCCCACCACAGCCGATTACAAAGACACTCTTACTATTCATGTTAATGGTTCCTGCACTCAGATTCTCAGACTGCCATGAGGTCCTCGCCTACAAGGACCTGAAGGTTTAACTGCCTCCTTCCCTGCCTCCACCTCACTCACAGGGCCCAAGGAAAAGGATCTACGTCTCCTAAATGAGGGTGGGAATTTCAGGGGAATTAATCTGAGAGTTGATACAATGCGGCAGGCAGCTTTTCCAGTATAAACACCTTAAGCAGTAACTGGAAGAAAGCCAGAGCACTTTTACATGGCCCATTGTCTATACTGTTGCACAACTGGACAGACTAGTGCATTGATAGCAGATGAAAAATTCAGAGAGCTTGGCAGGGAGGCGACAAGACAGGAGGAAGTCCTAGAAGCCCTTACATCATGAGAGAAGACAGAACGCTCCTTCTAGAGAACATCGTAAGAAACTGGAAGTTAGCGGGAAAAGCACAAAGGAGCCAACAGAGAAGCTGGGGGCGGAACAGTCAAGGGCATGCAGGCCATTCACAAAGACAGCCTGACATCCATCAGCTGGGGTAAACTGAAGAAGAGAGATGTTTGGTTTTGTTGGCTTACTCTGCGATGCGTCTTTACTTTAACATGTTGTTTCGTCAGGTCTGTCTACAAAGATTTTAAAATAGGTCCCTTGGTAGATCTACCACGTGTTAAGACTTATCAGTCTGCTGTGAACTAAAGTTCCCTAAAAAGCCACACCTATGTTGGAGAGTCTGTAGACTGATGGTGAAGAGTTGGAATGCTGCAAATAGAGAGCCAGAATTATCTTGGGCTATCTTTAGCTCCTTTAATAGCCATTTATCACCCACCTCTTTATCAGACCTAGCTTCCTTTTGACTACCAGATTAAACTTTTGGAATAACCCTCGGCAGACCACTAACTTTCACCAACTCAGACTCAAGAATGTCATTAGAGTGCATCCAAATGCTGTGACTTGGCTTTCCCCACTTTGCGGCTGTCCCCACCAATGAAGATCACACTATGTAGCCCTGACTGACCTGGAATTTGCTGTGTAGACTGGGCTGACCTTAAACTCACAGAGGTTCACTTGCTTCTGCCTCTGCAGGGATTAAAGGTATGTGTCACTGGGCCTCTCACTGTCTTTGGAGTGAACACTGACTGTGTTCTGCGTTGACACTGCCTATGTCAAATGTGCTGGGTTGACCAGAAAGACAACTCAGCTTCCCCATGAGACTACCCTAGGCCAGTCTGGGTCAATATTCTGTTTCTGGATATACACCTCAGTTTTAGGCATAGGGTGGACAGAGGACATAGGTGACACCAGGTGTTTCCAAGGTACCTGGGGATGGCAAGCTGCATGATGCCTCCAAGCAGACTCACAGAATAAGTGTTGTAAATTATACCTTCCAGGACAGAAAAGGACTCTGCAGGTATGATTAACAATTTTGTAATGGGAAGCTAATTCTGTATCATTCATATGAACATTAAATATAATAAAAAAGTCTTATAAAAGGGACATTGGTCAGAGGCAGAAGAGGTAGCAATGTAACCATGAGGGCTGAGACTAGAGCGATACAGCCACATGCCAAGGAATGTTGGCAGACACTGGAAGGTAGAAGAGGCCAGGGATGAATTCTTCCTAGAGTCTAGGGGAATGTAGCCCTGAAGATACCTTCATTTTAACTTCTGTAAGAGAAAGATTTCTATTGTTTTCAAGTACTAATCTGTGGCGATTCTTTTTGAGGCCCTAGAAACACATACACTGAGCCTCCCAAAGCTGCACAGTTTCTAAAGGGCCTGTCCAGTTGCCAGATCAATCTGGAGTGGAGTAAAAAGACGGCTGCAGTCTGAAGAGATCTGACATAGGACATACAACAAACACTCATTCAGCAGAATCAAAGGAGGATGAAGAGGGACATAAAAGTGGAGATAAAATGGGCCCTGGAAACAGTGCAGACACTGCCACCCGTGTATTCAAAAACCTTCGCACCAGCAAGGTATTATCTCGATGGTGTACTGTTCACTGGGTTCCCAATCTCCTTTGATAACTTTGTAGCTCAATAACAAATATGAATTTTAAATGAGCCCTGCAGCTGCCCACAAACCAATCACTACGTTCTCTATTTTTTTGGCTTCTGTGTTTCACATGACAGCGTAGAACTTTGAATGAGTAACAGTTCACCACATTGCACATGTGAATTTTAACTTTACGTCTTATCTTTCACTTTAACCTTGTAATGAAAACATTCCACAGGAATTAATGATCCCATCCTCATCCGACCACACAAATCCCATTAGACCAAATAACCCTTAACCGTAAATGAATCTACAATGGAAACTGCCAACAGTATTTTTCAGAGAAGATGAAATAAAATTTCTGACCAAAAGTAAATTGGTTGAATTTTTGAATAATAAATTCTCATATTTTATAAACAGATCAACAGCCTATCATCGGATCATCCTGATCTTTTAAATGCTCAGCTTTACTTCAAGCAGGAATCGAATTTAACACTGACATACACTAATGATAATTTTCCCCATTTGCTGAAAATGTCTCCATTTTCATGAAGTCATTAAATAGCCTTTTCAAGAAATGTACAATGAGTACAGGACTAAGAAAACAATAATAATTCAAGCTGTTGAGAATTGAGAGTATACTTTGGAGAAAAAGAATTTTGCAATACATTCCTATGGCCCGTAAAGGCACCCAGTCATCCACAGTAATTTTATCAATAGGATTTATCCTAAGTAAATGCATGCAAAGCCTAATGATAAATACACTACTGTGCTGCTTAAGGTGGGAAAATATTGACTGCATATGTTCTCAGTGCTTAACTAAGCAACTAGCTTAAATACACTGTACATTTAAATATTCTTGTGTCATTATGAATAGTGCTGTATTCCAGGACAGTTGGGGCTACAGGGAGAACCTGTCTCAAAAAAAAAAAAAAAAAAAAAAAAAAAAAAAGAAAAAAGAAAAGAAAAGAAAAAAATACTGCTGTAAAGGGATGGTTATTTGTTTAACAATGCAAATGCAGAAGTGTTCCTAAAAATACCTACAGTTTGTTGCAAGCAAATATACTCTCAACATGTTGTTAAGCAAATAAAAAAGGAAATGTGATCCACACTGCTTCACACAATTGTTGTGTTTTAAATTTTAACTGTCCCTCCAAAGATCAAGTGTTGAAGGTTTGGTCCCAATGTGGCACTGTTTGGGGGCAGGGTAGGGGTGGGAGGGCTTTGGGAAGCAACTGGATCTCCAGGCCTCTGTCCTCATAAATGGATTAATATATTTATGGATTCATAGCTTGATGAGTTTGGGGGGCTTTATAATAAAAGTAACCAGTTTGTTTCTGCCTATTTATTTATGTATTATTTGCTTATTTAATGTGTATGAGTGTTTTGCCTGAATGTATGTAAGTACAT